AGCTGTCCACCGTCTCCTCCAGGACGAAGGCAATGAAGGACAGCACCTGAGGGACAAACAGGAAGTCAGCACAGGTGAGCACAGAACAGAAATATAAGTCAGGGATGATCCTGCTGGCTTCATACATCAAACAGTCGGCGTGTTATAGCGAGATGTTCTCCTACAGACCGACCTGTGAACACTACTGTGAATCTGTCACAGCCTGTGAAACCACGGCCGCCCACTTACTCAGGACGGTGCTGTGCAGATGCTCGTCTTTTACTAGTTGAATAAAAACATCATCTGCAGGTTCATCGAGCTCAGTCTTACAATAAAACGTGTGGTTTCAGTGGGCCGGCCCACTCGGGATCACAGTGGGCCGGCCCACTCGACTCGGGATCACAGTGGGCCGGCCCACTCGGGGTCACAGTGGCTGCAGTTTGACGTCCCTGCGTTACAGCACGAACAATAACAACGATTATTCTCATATTTTGTCGGACATTTCGATGATTATGAAGAAATATTTGCATAAAATGTTATTTTGTTTCACTTTTCCCGCTAAAAGCTTCTTCAGCAGCTCGCGTATTCACCAGGCGCCGAAAACGCTCGTTTGATTTGTCAGTTTTATTCTGCACGTCTGCTCCCGCCATCGAACGCTGCGACTACGACACACGGGGAGAAACTGACCCGACAGTCACCACTTCCTCTTCCTGTAGGAAGCAGACCTTCAGCCTCCGTCAGCCTCTGCTCCGTGTATTCGTCCTCTCGTCTGAGACGATGGCAGCTTATTGGATGAAATGTGGCGTCTCCAGTCTGACCAGCTGCTGGCAGCTTCAGGCCGGCGTGACAACACGAAGGCGCCGGCTCTGCTGCATTTCATTAGTTGTGGTCGAACCGCTCCGACCGCTCAGATCTGTGTGGGCGGCAACAACAGCGGTCGCTCCACACCAGCAGCCATCGCAGGGACGCCACATCTGAACCACCACAGCGGCGAGACCACGAGATCCAGCAGGAGTCGGTAGGAGCGCTTCAGCCCTCAGACCCCCCCCGAGTTTGGGGACCTGAAAGAGCAGGCAGAACGAGCCTGGGGAGGGGAGGGGGGGATGTTTGGACTACAAACATGGAGGAATTTGTGGCTGAGCTCTTCCAGGCTCCAAACACTCGTGTTGTGCATGTAAACTGACCTTTAAATGACTCAGAGAGCGGCGCCGTGCAGGAGGAGCTTCCTGTAACTGCTGAAGGAGGACGTCAGGACCACACCCACTCTCTGACCACTTATCAGGACGGAAACCTTAAGAAATGACACCAGTGTGCTCTGATTGGTCCAGATGTAAGTACACGATGATGTGTCGAATGCACTCTCGAGAAAGTCCAAGCCTGCCCGATTTCCTCCGTCTGAAACGTTCGAGGAGCGCGTCAGAGCTGCACACCTCCTCTCTGCAGGTGACGCCGTCCCGTCGGCTTCTTCACGCCACGACCTCCGGGTCTGTAGGCGAGCGTGGAGCAGCTTCAGGCCTGAGGCCGCGGCTCTCTGCAGAGCCCTCCCTCTGAGCTCACGGTGGTTGGAAGGCGGGACACGAGATGACTGAGAGCACGTCTACGTTCCAACGCTCACCCGTGGTCGTGAGGTGGTTAGTAAGAGAATAAAGTCACGAGTAAAGCTGCAAAACGAGCAGAAAGACAGCTGAGAGTAGAGGCGTCGCTCGTCCAGACCCAGGAGATCGTCACGCCAACAGATAAGCACCAGGAACCAACAAACCAGCGTCTGTGCTTTAAACAGCCGTGCACGTGTGCAGGGATACTTTCCTCTCGCTGTCGCGTGTTTGTCCTCGGTTAAACCGAACGCCAGCCTCTGTCTCCGTCACAGCGGCGAGTTTAACTGGAGGAATGTTCCACGTTAAAGTGAGCCTGAGGTTATAAAAAGGCTTTGTGCTTTTCTTCAGACAAACCACAGAGCTAACAGCAGACGCCTGACGTCAGCGGGCCGAGAGCGGCGCCGATCCTTTTATCCTTCAGTCAGAAACACCGACGTGAGTCATTCTCCTTCAGTAATCTGATTACATGTTCTGTACCACCAGAACATTTTTAGTGACGCAGAAAACGTGAAACGTGAGAGACTCTGAGTGTTTGTGCCCATCGTCAACATCCTGCACTGACTGATCTGCTCTCACTGTACGAACATAAATACACAAAGATTGATTCCAGCATCACTGTCATCAGTCGCCGTGCTGTTAATCTCCAAGTCACATCAGAAACGCAGCGAGTGGGCGCAACGTGGAAATCAAAAACCTTCTCGTGCACCTCTGCTGTCGCTCTGTAGGAGAGCGTGTGTCATCACCGGCGCTGGATCGCCTCCATCGTGTCCAAGCTGGTTTACTTTAGGGAACACAAAGAGGCGAATCTGCAGAACAGAGCGAAAACGCTCTCGCCCTGCGGCGGTAACGTGGAGCTCCACGCTGACAGCTTCGTCTCACCTTCGATGCACAACCTCAAAAATAAATTGAGGTCAGCTGGAAGTCGAGGTTTGCTCTGATTCGAGGCCGGCGGTGAAACCGTGTTTTTCCAGTGAGCTGCACTCACACACAGAGTGCTTTTGTTCAAAGATCCTGAAATATGACAAACTGCTCAGCTCACCTCGATGGTCCCTCCTGTTACGCTTTAACGGGTTCAAATGTGAAGCAGCTTTCAGTGTCTTTGCTCGTTTCAATCAGAGCTTTAGTCCAGATCCTCTCAGTGTCCTACACGTGAGCGCTTTAAACAGCGCTGC